TTGTTGTTGTTGGTTCTCATGGAAGAATTGTATATATGTTAAGCCATGTTTCTTTCTTCCAAGCTGTGATTTGAATGATTCTGTGGCAGTGATTTGTGTATTTTTTTATTCTGTGTATCCTGATACTGATTTAAAGGACGAATATCTCAGATTGTATTATAGGAGGGAAGTTAGCTTGAATTATGATTTTATATTTCAAAATTATGTTTTGGACTCCTCCTAGTGACTTCAGATCCCATTTTGGATCTTTAATCCAAAATGTCATGATTTAAAACCAAAAAACAAACCCCCTGCTATTGAGTCAGTTCTGACTCATAGAGATACTTTAATTGCCTCAATTTTGATTGAGTGGTTGGATATAATGAGAAGAGGGAAGAATAAACAAATAAATAATACCTGTTAGTATTTGATTGAAATTAGTGCATTTTAAGACACTCAAAAAGAAAATGGTGAGAACGTGGTTTGGGAGTTAAGGATGAAACAGCAACAAGGTAGCAGATAGGTGCATTTTTCAATCACTTTCACTCATACTCAGAAGAACACTCTGCTATAAAAAAGTAATTTAAATTAGTTGCCCCAAGGCCAATCTCATAATGCTATCTAGGGAAGTTTAGATAAGGCTGAGTTAATGAGGTAGCTTGTTTAGGATTGAAAATGAAGGCCCTTACCTATTTAGAGTACATATGTAAACATTGAAATGTCATCTGCAATGTTTACCAAGAATTTTTTATGACCTTTTGTAGATTATATTAGTAGTAAAACTTTAGTTACAACAAAAATAGTTATCTGCCTGTTAGTAGCAATTCAACAGCTAAAGTATTGGCAGTTCGAAATTTATAAATTCATATGAAGAGCAAAGTTCCATATTGATTCTGATTCCTCACTGCAGTTTAAGTATCTTCCTCTTACCCAAATTAGACACACTTTTCCAAGGAATCAGGATTGCTGGTTTCAGGGCTGGGGTCAAGTCTTGGCTCTGTCACCCCTTTGTTGTGTGACCTTAGGCTCATTCATCATTTAACTTTCCCAGAATAACATTCTTCATGTATAAAATTGGCTCAACTTAACCAACTCTGAAGACCCTTCCAGGTTTATAAATCTGTGACTCTTAGATGATTGATTCCCTTTAGTATTTACTTTAAATAAGCAGTCAACAAAAGAGATATACTAGTATATACAAAGGAAACATTCTAGTAATGTTTTGTTTAGAATTTGATCAATAGAACACTAATGTAAAGATCTACGTTGAATAAAATGCTTGTCTTTGGGCAACCCCAGCTCTGCAATGGATTTAACTCAGGCAGCCAAACCATGGTCTTCTGCAGCCAAGCCCTCACTGGGCTGGCATCTCTGAGATTTGTCTTGCTTTGTTCTGAGTCTTGCTGTGGTTCTGTAGCCTTGTATTTGTTGGCAGCCTAATAACAACATCATGGTTTCTTCTCTTTCCCCTTTCTTCCACATCAGATTATGGAACTGCAGCGAATGATATTGGGGACACCACAAACAGAAGTAATGGAATCCCTTCCACAGATGTGGCTGACAAGGCTGGTCGGGAACATCTCTCGGTGAGTGTGATAAATACGTGCTTCCAAGCTTGGTTCTGAGCAGATCGACTACTTAAATGTTGGAAGAATGTAGCTGCTTCGTTGCGTGCTACTTTTTTTTTTTTTTTAAACAACTTTTTATTGGGATTTGGGTGAAAGTTTACAGAGCAAATTGGTTTTGCATTCAACAGTTCATACACATTCTGTTTCGTGACATTGTTTGCAGTCCCCACAATGTACATTCACTCCTCCCACCCTCTCCCTGTGGTTACCATTTCCTTTTGTCCTTCTTTCTTATCCCCTCTTGCCTTCTGAGCTTTATCCCTGGGCAAATGCTGCCCTTTTGGTCTCTTATGGTTGATTGTTCTAAGGAGTGTTTACCTCTCTGGTGTTATTGTTCAACTCGATGCTCAGATGTAAACAGCGCATTAAGGATGGGAGCAATTAATGGGAATGTTAAAGAAAAGTAATATGAGGTCTACATAGCCTCTGGCTTACTTGTTTTCCTTTTGTGGGCCATTTTTACTGTAAATGATTCCTATTTCAAATGTTTATCTTTAAAAGATCATCACTACATAAGGCAAGAAAGGGAAATCAAAGGCATCCATATTGGTAAGGAAGAAGTCAAACTATCCCTATTTGCTGATGATATGA